GCCAATTAATCTGTTAAATTGGTTAAAAAGACCTCAATAAATTCTCCCTGTCATTGAGATCATTGATTGAATCTGACCCTACGACTACAATAAAGCTCCGTAAGTAAAGTGGAAAAGTTGATGACACAGAACAGACTCAGGCTGTTAGAAAAGAGCTGCAACCAGAATGTTATCTCTGCTAGGTGAGCTGAGTGGGGACTGAGAGATACTGCAAAAATGCAGTTTTGTGCCCTAACAGGAACTAGTGAATAATGTAAGTGAACAGAATTGTGATAGGATAGTTTAATAACTGTGTGGAATTATGATAACAGGCACCCACGCCTATATGCAGTTGGATAACTCCATCTGACTTAAAAGTGTACCTGCATGTATTTAATCACTGGAATTCTTACGCCACCTTGCCTATATTCCAACAAGCCAGTGAACAAAGGAAGTTAAGTCTGACCTGAGCACTGTGAGTGAGGAGCTGATTGAATTCCTACTTCAGAGCTGCAGCATATAGGAAATAATTTAATCAATGCATATTCTGTAATAATTTATTGCATGCTTAATCTTGGTCATCTGCTGTTGGACCTACAGCCTACAAAAACATGAATTGATGTTGGTGCCCCTTTGTCTGCAAGCCTGATGCAGTTTTGTGGCACTGAAACTGCCACTTCCAGAGCTCCAACTTCTGAACTCATAATGGGCTCTGCACATTTTCAAATAGCTGTGGCAATGGCGTTGTCTCTACTAAAGCCACCATTCTAACTGACCAACACATATGCTGATCTGGGTAATACTTGAGTTTCTTTCTTATTTTAGTCAAAGTATTTCAATTCAGTGTTTTTGTGATCCAGAGTCTTCACAATGTGTGGCTTTGACTTCAAGGGCTCCAATATTCTTTACTGCCTTTCAGAGCTCCCACTCTGCTGCCTTATATTCAAAATTTCCAGATGTTTTGCCCTGGCCCAAACAGTCTTTCTCCTCTACTCCTGGATCTTGAGAACTGCAAACTGACTTCAGATCCTAGCCCTGGAGATTTCCTTAGCTGCCACCATGAAGCTAAGGAAATCGTAAGTCAAAGGAACAGACGTCGGCATTTAGCCAGTCATGTCCACTCGGCCATTCAGTGACATCTTGGCTAATCCAATAATTCTTAATTCAAATCTCTTGACTTTTCCATATAACCCTCAATTTCCTTAGTGATTAAAATAGTTTATTCAAGGCTGAGATGGACATAACGACACAAGCTCCACTGCCCTCTGCAGCAAGGATTTCCACAGATGCACTACCCTTAGCAAAAACTCCTCCTCATCTATGTTCTAACTGGGCAATCTCTTAATCTAAGATTATGCCCTGTGGTCCTACAGTCTCTCACAAGGGGAAACAGCCTTTCAGCATCTTCACTTTTCAAGTCCTCTAAAGAACCTTATATGTTTCAATAAGGTCAACTCTCATTAGAGGTCCTGGAGAAAATTCAAGACAAACTTATAATTGTAGCATGAGAACTGGGACGTCATGTCACAGCTGTACAAGACACATTTCAAGAGATATGTACAAGTCTGGTTGCCCTTCTATAGGAAGGATGTTATTAAACCGTGTTGAGGGCAGGTAAGGCAGACCCACTACTGTGTGTCTGGAGTTGTATATAGGTCGATTTGCTTCCCTAAAGGACATCAATGAATCAGATCAGCATTACAGCATTTCACAGTGGCTACTTGATTGCCATTAAATAGCTTACTTTTTAATTCCAGATTAAATTAAAACTTCATCAGCCACAGATGAACCCATGTTCCCCAAAACATTACCCTGGCTTTCTGGATTATAAATCCAGTAACATTAATCACTACACCACTGCCTCCCTGTATGCACTGTACACCTGGATCTCTTTGCAAGTCCACTCCACAAAGATTTTTATTTTCTGAGTAATGTGTGACCTTTTTACTTGGGTGAAAGATTGACAAGCTATCAAACTAAGACCATTCATTACATTAGTTGTGTGTTGGTCTACGTAGCCTGGCCTGAAACTATTGACTATGTTCAAGTGCACTTTCTTTAAAATGTTTTTATTATCTGAGGACAAAGGAATTTATAGTAGCTGTTAGTTTTAGTATGTATTGTTTAATGTAAGCTCTTCCCCGTCAGATGCTCAGTCCAGCAAACCATGAAGCAAGCATCAGATTGAATGAATCTGCACAGAAGCCACATACTTTTTCCAGCAAAAGCGGTCTTATCCAGTAAGTAAACAAAGTTTAAAAGGTGACAAAGTCACTTGGCAGCTACTGAGATAAGGTAAGTGGGTGTAGAGCAGGATGACAGGTGAGTGGGTACCAGGGCATCCTCAGCTTTACAGTTATCTAGGAGTTAGAACAAGTTTTAATCCCTGTATTGTTTCCTGGCTGGAATTAAAGGAATTAAATTAGAATCCTCCAGAGTTTCAAACTGAGAGTTGAGAACTTTATCAGGTTATGCTCAAAGACCAGAAAAATTGTCCATGTAAATTGGCTGCACCGTACTTACGCCCTATGGCTGGCAGTGATGTTGAATTGTCTTAGCTGTGTATCACTAGACCCCTCAACCTGTATTATAGAAAAACTTCATTACTTAAATCAACACTACTTCCTAAATTTCCACATATCTTCCTATTGCATTGTAAGTAATATGGAATTAATGTATTATATAAAAATGATGGAATGTATAACTGCAAAATAGAATTAAACTACATTTATAGTCTACATCTCTAAGTCTGCTTCACTTGAAGACTGGACACGGAGAACCAAGTCTAACCACGTCATGTGAGAGTCATTAGCCTAATTAAATGTTGTGGATTTTAATTCTTTAAATCCTACTGTATACAGAATTAGTTACATTGTTTATAGAACATAAAGTAGAACATAGAGTAGTACAACACGAAAACAGGCCTTTCGACCCACGTCTGTATATTTGAACCCTGTTCCAACTATGAGACGTTAGCACAGTTGAAATCTTTCCCTCCCATGATTTAGATTAGGTATGTATTTTAAATTACGTATAGCTATATGTCATGTTTGGGACCAGATTTCAGTGGAATTGCCTGTACTCATTAAACACAATAGCATTATGATGGATACTTTGTACCAAATGATAATATCTTTAATATTAATCTGGTTATCATTCCCAAAATCTCTCAAAAACTTTGAGAAAATCCTTTTAACTATTTAAAAAACATGCTATTCAAACATCAAAACAATGCTTTTAACAATGCTTAAATACTTTTCATATTATCATGTTTTGATGTATCCATAGCATTACATTTTTACTTGAAGACCTCTGCCTCCCTCCAAAATTGGCTTAAACCAGACACTGATGTGCAGGCATGTCTAAGCTGAATTTGGATTGTGTGGTTTGAACATTTACTTTCCCAGGATAGGTCAGTTTAATTCCATTTTCCGTGCGCAGTGTTTTTTTTATCAACCATTTTTCAGATTTACTTAACGAGCCAAGGATAAACACATAATCTTTAGTGGAGTAAAATTTATATTATTTTACTTTGTGCAAGTATGTGAAAGAGAAATAGCAGTGTTCTGAGTACACATTTCATACAACTATTTTGTATTTTATAAAATTCATTTAGTAAAGGCCAGAGGCCCTCAGCAATCTCTCAATATTTGAGTTTATCTATAGTTTCAGGGTAGCACAAAACTTAGCAGAATCAGAGAATCAAACAGTGCAGAATGGGCTCTTCAGTCTAGTAAGTCTGCATCACCAAAGCTATATTAGTGCCACTTTCCAGCACTTGGCCCAAAGCCTTGAATGTTATGACATTTTAAGTGCTCATCCAAGTACTTTTTAAAGGTTCTGAGGCTTCTCTCCTCAGTTTCCCTCCTAGACAATGCACTCTGTTTCCTATCACATCCCCCCTCCCCGTCAGGTGAAGACATTTAAATCCCCTCTAAACCTCCTGCTTTTCACCTGGAAATTATGCCTCCTCATTCAAAGGGGAACAGCTGTTTTCTATCCATCCTGCCCTTGTAATCTTATAAATCATAATCTTATAAATCTCAGTCAGGTTCCTCTCAACCTTCTTTGCTTTAAAGAAAACAATCCCAGCCTATCCAGTCTCTTTTAATAGCTAAACTATTCCATCCCAGGTAACACCCTGGTGAACCTCCTCTGAACCCTCTCCAATACAATCACATACAAGTGCAATAGCAATATTTTATACAGAGGTATAAAACCAAACTACCATTTTAATAGAACTATTTCTATTAGAAAGCACAGATTATAGTTGATAATAGCCCTTCACAATATGTTTCATGTGTTTTTTGTGACTGCAATATAAAGAGAAGGAAGTTTTAGCAGCCAAGTTATTTCTTCCATAATTTATTTCAGAGATGGTTTAAAGCAAAATGCCTACAGCTTTCCACTCCCTGTCACTAAAAATAAACTATTAGTAATGTGTATTTATGTAATAATTTTGAAAGGTTTTAGAATTTTCTTATCTTGCAGCAGTCTGTCTCAGAATTATATGTAGATGTGACTAATGTAACAGCAGTACCTTTATGGCTGACAAGGCTGTTAGTCAGTGCAACAGATGGAGAATTTCTCACAGATTATCAGTAGTTATTGCCTCACACTATTCATTTATTTTTATATATTTGTCCACACTCCTCTCCCACCAATTCTACAACAGCTGCGCACACACCTTAGTCACCAAACAAGCAAAGGCAAACATACCTGTGGTGTAGAGATTTCTACACAAGGATCTTGAGTCACTCCCTGACTAGGCTAACAATTTATTTTCAGTGAAGCAAGATCAATCTTTTTTCAAGTATAAAACACACCAGCTTGTTGCCCTGAGAAATTAATAAATCATATTAATATTGGAAACCATTTCAAGATTTATTTCCATTTAAACTCAAATTGATATTATTTTAACCACCCTACTTGGATACGTTATTATTTGAAAGGTTTGTCCAGTGTAGAATAGTAATAATGGTGTTTCCATTTCCAATCCTTATTACTGTGAGATGATACACACTGAAAAAAATGGGTAAAGCCAAAATTATATTTCCAAAATGAATATATTGATTTCAATTACATGTAATGTCCCCAGTGACAGGAAGAGATGCATAGTGACTTTGGTAGATGGAATCAAATTTTGATAATTACATCTAAAGCACTATAAAATTGGAATGTACATATTTGAAGGATATTTAACAGAATTGCGAACATAATTTAACAAAATGTATGCTTATTTAATAAAAAAGGCAATCTTAGCTTTTAGTACATTAGAATAAAATGAAACAGGTGATTTGAATAATACAATTAAAAGTTTTTTTTTTATTTCTAGCAGTTGCAAAGAATGCAAGCAACATTGTAGGTATTTTCCAGGTCTTTTATTCACAGCACAAAAACCTCAACCAGAACCAAAGTTAGATGTTCAAAAGAAAAAATATCAGACTGTCATATTATAAGGTCATGCTGGTAATCAAAAGATGGTTGATTCCCAATCATCAGGTTTTCTTCTTAGTCTTGCTATTTCAGAGAGCAACTAGTCAAGATTCATACAGCAAGAAAAAAAGCCCTCAGCCAGCCAAGTCTATGCCAACCAACAAACACCAAATTACACTAATCGCATTTACCTGCACTTGGTCCAGAGCCTATTATGCCCCAGCATTTTAAGCACTCATCCAGATGCTTCTTAAATATTGCGATTATCTGCCTCCACCACTCTCTCAGGCAGCTCTATATTTCAAACCTTTCTGGGTGAAAAAATTCATACAGTCATCTGGCATTTTACCTGTGGCAGCAAAGTATTAAATATATCTGTCAGGGCCCAAGCAATCTCCTCCTTTGTACCCCACAATAACAGCCTGGGATATATCTCATCAGGCCCTGTCGATTTAGGAACCTTTATGCCTTCTAAAACATCTACATACCTTCTCCTTATTAATCTTAATTATTTCTAAAACCTCAACATCCCAACTTCTATCCCTAGCTACAATGTCTTTCTCCTCCATGAATACTGATGCAAAGTATTAAATTGAGTTCACCAGTGTCCAGTGGCTGCACATACAGGTCGGATCTGGTCTCTAATAGGTCCCAACTCTTCCTCTGCTCCTTAAATGCTTTGGCATTTTTCTTGAACCCATGTGCCAAGGATATTTTGTGTCCCCTCTTTGCCTCCTAATTTCATTTATTAAGCAATCTCCTTTACTTTTGGAGCGCCTTCCCTGTTTTTAATGTACTGTATCTGACATGTGCTTCCACTTTTCAAAAAAAAATCAAACTCTCAAAAATCCCTTAACATCCAGGGTTTCGGGTCCTAATGTCCTTGCCCTTCACATTTAGAAGAACACGCTGGCCCTGAATTCTCACTGTACTACATGTAAAACACTCCCATTTTCTGAATGTAGACTTGCCTGCAAGTGGCTGCTCCCAGTCCATGTTTTTCAGATCTTGTCTAACATATTGAAATAAGCCTTCCCCCAATTGAAACACAACTTCTGCTCTATCTTCATTCCTTCCATAATGACTTTGAAAAATTGAATTATGGTCACTATCACCAAAATGCTTGCCCACTGAAACTTCAATCACTTGACTGGCTTCATTCTCTAGGATTAGGTCTAGCACTGTCCCATCTCTAGTAGGACCATCTCCAAAAAGCTCTCTGGGATGCACTTTAAAAATTCCATCCTGCCTAACCCTTTCACACAAAGGCGATCCCAGTTAATGTTAGGAAAGCTGAAACTTCTTACAACTATAACTCTGTTCCTCTCACACGTTTCTGTGATTTGTCTACATATCTGCCCCTCTTTCTTCCTCTGTGGGAGGCCTGTAGTGTAATTCCAGCAAGGTAATTTTATTTCTAAGTCTACACAGATAGCCTCATTTGAAGACCCTTCTATGACATCCTCCCTCATTACTGCAGTGATGGTTTCCTTTTTCATTAAAGAAACACCCCCACCTTTCTTACTCTCCATCCCCCCCCCATTCCGCTTGAAACCTCTACATCTGGAATGTTGAGCTGCCAGTCCTGTCCTTTCTTCAATCATGTCTCAGTGATTGCAGCAATATCATATTTCCACATACTGATCAATGCTCTAACTTCATCTGCCTTACCAATCAAGCTTTTTGCATTAAAATAGATACAATTTAACTTTCTGGACTTCCTATGTGTTATCCCATCCATATCTTCTCCACCTGCTGGGCTATTCTAGTATTCCTTTTTTATCTGATTGGACCTTGATCCTGACTGTATATCTGGTCTGTACCCCATCCCCCTGCCAAATCAGTTTAAAACCTCCCCATGAGCACAAGCAAATCTCGCAGCAAGGATATTAGACCCATTCCAGTTCAGGTGCAACCTGACCTGTTTGTACAGGTCCTACCTACCCCAGGTGTTCCAATGATCCAAAAAACCAAAGCCCTCCTCCTACACCATCCCTTTAGTCTCACGTTCATCTGATCATCTTCATACTACATTACTTAGGAGCGGATGACACTAGAAGTACTTCAGAGATTATAACTTTAGTAATCTTCCTCATTAATCTATAAATCCCTGCTGCAGGATTTCAATTCTTTCTTTATCAATAAGTACCACAACTTCTGGCTGTTCACCCTCCCGCTTCAGATTGCCCTGCAGCACTCTTACCTCAATGTTATTATGGAAAAGACATTAAGTTTTTTTTTAAATTCACTCTGAGGGTGCGGCCATCACTGGCAAGAGACATTACCTCTACCTTTATTACAACCAAGTGGTTTAGGAGGCTGTATCAGAAGGCAATCAGGAGTCAACAGTGCTGTTGTGTGACCAGAGTCACACTGGAGTCACATACAGGGATGACAGTGCAAGGATGGGGATGGCAGGTTTCTTTATTGAAAGGACATCAGCAAACTAGTTGGATTTTTTTTGGCAATAGTTTCATGGTCAATTTGTTACTAGATTTTCAATTTCAGATATTTCAAAATAAGTTCAAATTCTAAAATTTCCAAGAGATGGCATACCAGTTTGTCTTGCTAGCCCAGTAACACCACCAGCACAGAATATCAACTATGATAATTTTGTTGGACGTAAAAGTGCTTGTGATACATGGTTAGCTAAATCAATTTCAATGTTTTATGTTTTGACATCAGGGTTCATGTATTAACAAGTCAGTGGTTTTGGAACACAGTCTTAATCATTGTAAACTTTATGGCACTAAAAGTAAGGGTGACATTTGAGTGAAGAAACAAGAGTATAGTAGCCCCTTGCATAAAATCCAGAATAGTATTTGCATTTATCTATTTTCACACTTGAACTCAGTTTAAAAATCTATGTACCTCATTCCTAAAGTTTAAATCTTCCTCTATTGATTGTTTGAAGGTTTGCCAAATTATTGTATTTCCATATTAACATTTCCATTTATTAGCAACAAGTATTTTCTATTAATCTGTCTACATTCTCTGCAAGTTTATCCTTTCAATTTGTGAAAAAAACTAATTTGATACAATCAGAAAACTCCAAAATAATTTCTCAACTACCTAAGTGTCCTGGACCAAGAGACAAGAGGTAACCTTTAAAGGAGGCTGAGCAGGATATTTGGTGCAGTTTAGTGGCAGTTTCTGTTTTTCCCTTTTGCTCATTCACAAAAGACCTGAAAAGTTTACACTAAAAACTAGATATAAAGAGTACTCAGCAGGACTGGCAGAATACAATGCATAGTTTTTCTTGAATTACATCAGATGATGGTAAGGCACAGAATAGGCACTCATGCCAGGACTGTACAGAATAATTCACTGTATTCAGTCCACAAGTACAAATAATTCTGAGGAACGCAAGGAGGGGAGTTTGGCACCAGAGTCAGGTTACATAGTATCTCAGCTGAAGCGCCAAGAAAGCCTGATCTTTCAGGCTCTTTTGAAAGTAAGATCATTTTATACTATCAAACCTTGTTTTCACTTTGCTAACTAGCCAGTCCGTACACTTCTACCACTGTGAAAGCATCTAGAAGCTAGAGTTTAGAGCACCAATCTCAATTCAGTTTGCATATCAGGACTATGATGGAAAACATTTGGAGCATGTAGACAATGTTTACTTATTAAAAGTATACTGGTACTAAAGTTGTTTGTACAGAGTATTCTTGAAAAGGTTGCGAACAGCTGGCACTGTTGATGGATTTGCAAATATAACACGAAAGACAGAAAACATTGCATGTAAAGTCACGTGTGTTGAGGACATTGGGACAAAGTCAATGAAATTAATGCAGAAAAGTAAAATTCCAAATTGAGAAGTCATTTACATTAGAGCTTCATGAACTTGCCCCGCAGAAACTTTATTCTTCTTCAGCTACTTCCCTGACCGCACCTGATGCCTTGCATTTGCAGCCTCCTAACACTGCCCTTTTGCAAGGTGAATTTACACACTGTTGAGAACCCTACAGTATTTAAAATTTAAACAGAACTACATAGTACAGTGCCCTCCAACAGAACTTAAGGCATTTTTGAAATTACAATGGGAATAGGATAAAATAAAATAAAGTTTCAAGTGAGCTACCCATGAAGTCTAAATGTATAAACATGTTTTCACGTGGGGAACAGTACCTAGCAACCATCAATAGCCAGTTTATTTGGATGGGTATATTAAAACAATTTTAAATGGGCAGGAAAACTGACTGAAAAGTATATTGCATCATCAGACTTAATTTTTGCCAGCACTCATAACTCTGACCTCAACTGCATTACCTTATAGCAATCTTCACTACTTACAGAAACTGGGTACTTTCTCAAGATGAGATTGGCAAAATATATTTTGTGAAAATAACAAGTACTTCTTATTAGAGACTGGGAGACATTAGTCTGACTACGAATCTTTTGTCATATACTATAGTACCAATGACCAGTTTAGTGACCAACAGACTTGCAAATATCATCTCTAGTAATAAAGGCAAAATGCCAAGGATACTGAAATTCTGAAGCAACCAGAACACTGCAAAAAACTCAGCAGGTCTGGCAGCATCCGTGCAGAGGGAAACATAGTTAACATTGAATCTGGTATGACCCTTCTTCAGAACTCTTCTCTTTCAACAGTCCCTCAGATGACTTGTTTCCATGGTGGTTTAATGAATTCTGAGATGGTTTGGAAGTCCAATTCACATTCTATAGATTCTGCGTCATTTTGGTTGGTCACAGACTGTAGACTGCCATGAGTGGGCAAGATAGTTTTCCTCTTCATGGATATTTGAGGACAGCCCTACAACAATTCACCTCTTTACTTTCTCGTGCAATTGAGTTCTGAGTAGCTGCTTTGGGAGTCTGGGAACAGGTACACAAATTACATGCTCTGCCCAACAGAGATAGTTTTGAGTGATTACCACCTCAATGTTGGGAATTTTAGCTGGGAGAGGCTGCTGCTGTTGTTGAAACAGCATTTCTTTTGGCAGATCTTGCAAAAGGACCACTAGTGGTACTTCTCCAGCACATCAATGTACCTGCTGTACATCATCCAAATGTTTTAAGTGGGAAATGTATTCAGGTGTGGTTCAAATATTTTAAAATAAAATCTAAACTTCAGTGTATTGTAATGTTCTGCAAAGTATCTGTTTAGTCATATATCTCAGAAAGCCAGAGAAAAAAGTCAACTGAAGAGCAATTATTGGGCATGCTTTACATTTTGCGATTTGATGTTTATTTTACAATAAAAACAAAAATGTATAAACAATGCTAGTTTTTCAGGTCCAAAAATTTTGCAAATATTCAAAGCTTTGGACCAATGTAAATTTTACAAGCAAAAATAAGTTACCTGCATACTGTAAAAAAAAACTGTTCTTTTAGACACAACTGGCATTCTTTAATCAGGATTCATCAGCTTCTAGAGCTTTTATATTGCATTCGGATGCAGCTGCTTGCAACATGCCCAAGGGAACCTGTATGAACACTGAGAACTTGAGTAATTTTATGAACGAATGAGTTGCTCCATCAACATGGGATATAACTAAAACTTGTTACGTCAGATTATATTTCTGTAAATTAAATCACCATTGCAGACCAAGTGAAATGCATTCATTAAAGTTGGAATCAGGTAGCTGAAAAAATGGTCTGTATAAATGAGTATCTTTTACCTCTATCACAACTAAACAGCATTAGTTGTTCTACCAATAAAGAATGTTAGTAACAGTCTGAAAAATCTGATAAATACAACACACTGCTAAGACAGGCAGGGGTGGCATACCTAAATAAGTTGGAGTTGAATTAACGAATGATTTTTAGGCAGCAGAGTTGTAAAATCAAGACAAGAAACAAAAATAGTAAATGTAATAAATGTCTGAATCAAACATCCATGACTAAGTGTGATAATAGAATTTTGGAAAATGTTATCAGTACAAATTTGGTTTCCCTCATACCTGATTCCCAAAGTACAGTCTTCGCATCAATGACTGAAACAATTCTCCCAGTACTCTGAATTAATAGTCCAGTGATAATACCACTAGGTCATCACTTCTCCCTTGCCGAGTTGAAATATACACAGTGTGTGTTCACGTTCTCTGTGATAAGGCAACAATCTACAATCCTAAATTGGTTGCCAGCACAATTCTTCGCACAAATTATCCAGCAAATATTCAATTGTGGAATCGTGCTTAATGTTGGACACTGTTTTGAGTTTTACAAGTGTGGGTTGATTGGGTACAGTTAGTACATTGCTTATTGTGAACAGCTGAAGGTATATGATGCTTGATACAATCCATCAGTCTTTGGGATGTACGGCCTACAAACCTAGCAACACAGCAGCACAAATTCTTATGCCATTTTACTCATCATTGCTGGAAGCTACTATTGGTAGCACACTCAAGATCCAACTCTTTGTAGGCAAAAAAGAAAACATAAACACACACTGCACCTGTTTCAATCAGCAAGAGGGAGGTGACAGCCTAGTGGTATTATCATTGCCCTACTGAACCAGAGACCCAGGTAATGTTCTGAGGACCCAGTTTCAAATCCCACCAAACAAAATATAGTCTAGTGATGATCATGAAAAGTTTGTTGATTGTTGGAAAAACACTAATGTCTTATAAAGGAAGGAAAATGCTGCCTTTACCTGGTTTGGCCTACATGTGACGTCACACCACTAGGGATTGATAATAAATCCTGGCGAGCCAGCAAACCCCACATCCAATGAACGAATAAAGTCAAGTCAAAACTCAGTTATCATTAACTGGTGTCTTCTTCAGGCAAAGCTTTGACAAAAAAGTATTGCTGAGAAAGTACACAAGTTCTGGACTATCAAATGATTATGTTCATCGCCTTAAAACCTTAGAAAATTATTTTCCAAGTACAATCCCTGAAGATTAAAAATGAGGAAGAAACAAATAAGCATATTCTATGATATACTGCATAAACATGACTTCATTCATCTGTTAGCATTTGTAAACAAAAACAAATTAAAAGTCACCAATCTTTGCCATTTGATTTTTTTATCTCAATCTTATAAGACAGCTTTAAAATAACACACCTTTCAATCCTTTGAAAATGAAATGTATTTTCTCTACAAATGTTTTGTGATCTCTGCCTCTATTAAAATGTGGTGTGTGGTAAGAAGATTTAGCATTTACCTATGTATAATCACTACTTTTTTTTTTAAATGGACTAGAATATGTTTGTTGATTCTACACAATATTTATGGAAACAATTCTTTACCGACTTTTACAGAAGGGTCAAAGCTTCAATGTACATCTCTCCCCAAATCTTAATATAACTTAAAAACTGTTTGAAAACAGATCTAGAACTTATATAGACAATTTTTTGTATTATTGCAATAGAGTTGGGTTTCAGTTTAATTATTTTTATGGCTGATCACATGTCTTAACGTATATATTCATTGCTACAGATCTTGTAATTTATTCAAGGTTATGCACCTAGATAGTTGGCACTGGTTTTACATGACATTAATGCCAGTCAGCTTGTGTGGGACAAAGAATTTCAGGCATAACTACTTCCCAACAGTACTCTCTCCTATTTGGCCTTTTAGAAATTCCAACAGGGTGGAGCGCCAAGTGATTATTCTACCACATGCTGACACCTGCTCCTCCATTACTGCAATGCCAATCTTGGCAATGACATTAGTGGAATTCTGGATTTGCCTAGGAAGCTTGGAGATGCTGCCCAGTGTACAGGATGTAGTACAGATTATAAACAAGGCATACTTGTCAAATAAATGCTTAATGGAGATACTATGTGTCACATCCAAGTGGTTATAGATCTAACAGACTGATTGTTATTTCCAAAGTAGCAGAATGAAGAAACAGCCAGATTATGTTTTTGTACAGATTAGCAGTTATGGCAAGATCCTAACCGCTCTGTTAACCTTCCCCCAGTTGAGCAGCAAGGAAAACATGCTGAAATCCTCCTGGCTCTGTAGAGTCAGGACCCAAGTAGTTCCTATTGTTCACATAAGCCCTCCTGGAATTTGGGCTACATTTTAGGAACCTTGTCCTAACAGACTTCTGGAGATGGACAACTTCCAGAATTTCTAATCTTTCAGTGTCTAGTGGCTAATTTAATTTTTTCATGCATTTACTTAATGGTGCTGCCACTGCCTGAAGTCTTCACTTTGAACACAAAAGCCAGCACCAGCCTGTTTAGTTCACAATCTCGCTTTGAAAATTCTGGATATAATCCAATTTATTATAGACATCTGTGAGAATTTGCTTTTCTGCCAGACACAGGAGTAAGAAAGCAAAGATTCTATATGCTATAAAATTGTAACAACATTCAATAAGCATGTATAACAGTAGTTCTAATTGAGCCACAAGCCTGCATGTGTGGCAACATTGTGCAATAATAAAAATTATAGATTTACATCCATATTGAATTAATCATAAATACAGTGATTTCAAATAGATAATAAGTGTACCTCAGATAAGAGTTAAAAAGATAATGCATATTCAGGTGCTTTCATCAAGTAGATCTGGTTGATTTTCTGCCAACAAATCAAGAACAGCATCCAGAGGGTGAACCTAAGGAACCTACAATAACCTCACAATGACAAGACACTTGGGGGCCCAGGAGGGAATACCAAGAGGAGAAAACTAAAACATCCTCAAAGAAACAAAAAATGGTTTCATAAATTCCATGCTCAAATGGTGTAGTTATTCCACTATATTAAGTTTATACTTGAATCTCAGATGCACCTAGCGCAATGTGAACACTTTCTGGTTTCCAAATGGGGGCAGGGGAGATTAAAGAGAGTTTAACTGTGAAATTTTCAAGACCCAATTAGATCACCTGAAAATACACTAATCCCTTACTGTGCCAGAGCATTTAACTGCAAAAACAAAGCCATACAATTTTGTTTTTTCACTATTTCAGCAACTGTGCAATTTCAAATCAGCCCATAACAATGAAAGTTATCTGAAACACCCTTAGAACATACATTAAAAGATCAGAAAAACAGCACTTCAAACTTTCTTGCAGTCAAGTGTGGAACTGCAGTTGTTGATCATTTATAATTTATCTTACATCCAGGAATAATGAATTCTCTATCTCCCAAATGCTCGGCTGTATCCTTGGGAGTTACATTAATCACCCAAATGAGTGAGAAGTAATTTTCCTACATAGCATGAGCTAATGCAATATTCATCTTTGGAGAGTACAGGAAGGCCACAACTGTGAATTCAGTGCAGGAAGCAGCAGATAGATCAGCCAACACGCTCTGACTAATGTGGGAAACGTATACAGTCATTCAGTACCAGGTTTTGCTTCCTCAGGATTATCCTCAAACGGCCTGAAACAACAAAACAAAGAAGAAACAATAGCTATCAACAGGTCAACTGCACTAACCAATATTCTTCAGCTATTATTTTGAACACAGTTTATTTTAAATTCCTGTGGAAAGATAACTCTTTTAACAAAAAAGAACAATATTGTTTATGTACTTCAATTTCTTTTATAGAACACTGCGTGCAAGAGTGGGATCAGTGTGTTACAGGACCTCAGTATGCGAAGTTACCATGGCAAGTAACTCACCTCCTTACTCCCCAAAGCCTGTCCAACCATCTACAAGGCTCAAATCAGGGTGTGATGGAATACTCCCCACTTGCCTGGATGAGTGCTGCCCGAACAACACACAAGCAGCTTGACAGCATTCAGGACAAAGCAGCCCACTTAATTGGCGCTACATCCACTTCCTCCACCACGGATGCTCAGTAGCAGCAGTGTGTAAGATCTACAAGATGCACTGAAGAAATTCACCAAAGTTCCTTAGACAACACGTTCCAAACCCATGACCACTTTCATCTAGAAGGACTTGTGCAGCAAATACTTGGGAACTCCTCCACTTGCAAGTTCCCCTCCAAGCCACTCACCAGCCTGACTTGGAAATATATTGCAGTTCCTTCACTGTCACTGGGTCAAAATTCCACAGGTTTAAACTACAGAACGTGGACTGCAGTGATTCAAGAATGCAGGTCAACACCACCTTCTCAAGGGCAACTGGGGACAGTCAAGAAATGCTGACCAGGCAGTGATGCTCATATCCCACAAGTGAATAAAAAAAAATCTAAAAACTGCAACTGTCATAGGATCAAATCAGTTACAATGGAATCACAAAAATGAATGTACTCTGGAAATGTTCTATTTGGTTTAAGGAGTGGTTTTCGAAGTGTTCCAAAGTGCATATAATATTGATTTTAATACTCATCAGGTTAACTCAATTTTACATCTTGACTAGATTTAATTATTTAACTCTCCCAAGCACTTGTCACTGTTCAGATAGGAAACTGTAAAAATAAAATATCACTGTGTGACAAAATAACTAGATACTACTATTAAACGGCTAACATCAGGGACTCCTGACAAAGTATACTTCTATTCATAAATAACTGACTCTGTTGAATGCCAAGACCTTTGCTTGAAATGAGGCTCGGTCAACTCAAGCAAAAACAATATATATCTAATTTGGCAATCTTACTCAATGGTTATTGTTGAAAACAAATTTGGGGCAGGCTTAGGAGGTGAGAAATGAAGGATGGCATGCCTGACTAAATAAAGAGCAGAGACAGGAGAGAAGGTGCAAGAGTCATCAGAAGTAATAGCTGCCAAAATCTCCACACACATGCTCATGAAAAGACATAGCAAAAGACCAGGAGAGAAATGCTCTGGTTGTGAATAGACAGCAGAAAAGAGACAAAATTACAGAGTCTAAAAGTTAAAATCTGAGGTCCAATAATGGAAAAAGGTTCATTTACAGCCAGCATAGAGAGAACTTGGGACATCAATAAAAATGTTTGGAGACATTTCAAGAAGAGGAATTGAATGAAGCGACTGCATGAAAAGCAGAGTATTAGTGGGAACACTTCTAGAAAACAAAGAATTTAATCAAGAATACAGTCAACCATGAGCCAATATCTGATTATCAAAGAATCCAGCAAAAACGTGTCTAGCATCAAGATTTGAAATATACAGCAGCAGATTCAACATCAGCACAGGACAGAAATAGAGTAAAACACAAAGGGCCAGGACAAGCGAAGTCCAGGAGTCTAGACAATGGTTAAAAAGGTGATGAGTACAGATCAAACTGGTGTTGTGCAGCAGCTTAGGTGAGGAATGAGATGGAGGCAGCAGAACCTTGAGAAGCCAGTTCTGTGCAGTCTAGCAAGGCAACAAAGGAAACAGTAAGGGAAGTTTACACTGAGTCTGAAATTGCTTCAGCAACAAATAGTAAATATATGCACATCTGCTTTAATAAACCTAACATATAAAAAGGATTAGGACATATATTATTCTTTATGAACAAATTTTTACTATATATAGATTCATGTGGGTTCAATGTGTAGAAGTGGAGGAGGCAGCAAAAAGACAGTAACACAAGTGTTTGTATATTGATACTTGGAAATCAACAGTGCTAGGAAGTAACACCTGAAGAAATATAAGGCACAATGTACACATGGATGCAGTAATTTTAAGAACATAAATGTTCAATATTATAGAGATCAATTATAAGCATCATTCCCTGTCTATTTTTATTCATTACTATTATTCAAATAAAACTTTCAAATTATTTGTGTATTTTTTTATTTTAGGTAAAATAAAAGCTAACAAATTTCTTGTTTTGGCCAAATTCAGGAATTATGATCAGATGATTGAGACTAGCAGTAAACTGAACATCTCTATTTAACTGAAGTGTAATAAACAGGACAATTCCTTCTTTTTTATTATAAAAATAAGTCTTATCCGAGAGCTGTAAATGTCAAACTAAATGTTTCTTTCACAGGACATAAAAGTTTTCTGTAAAACCTTAATATTTGGCAAATACCAGGATTGACAACATGACATGGGTTAATGCTAGATATATTTGGAGAATAGGTTTATAGTATTTAGGAACAGACTTGTTACAGACTCTCAGAATTGTTCTGATGCAACAAGACGTCATTTGACCCATCATGTCTGCACTAACTCTAACATGCATTATGAAATAATGCCATTTGCCTGTATTTTCCCTCATACTGATGCACATTGTTTCTATTTAAATAATTGTATGATGTTCTCGAATGCTTTAATTTAATCCGCCTCCATCATACTTCCAGGCAGTGCATTCTAATCTCAAACCATTTATCAATAAGGTTCTTCCCTCACATCACACTTACAAATCACTTCAAGTCAATGTCCTAGCGTTCATGATCCTTTTATAAGTAGAAACAGTTTCTCTCTATTTACTCAATCCAAATCTCAGAATTCGGAAAATTTCCGTGAGATCTCTAAGCCTGCAAGAACAGTCTTCACTTCTCTTCATAACTGAAGTTTCTTATTCATGGACTTGCAAACAGGATTAGGAAGAATCTGAAGATATTTTATAAATACATTAAAGGGAAGAGGTTAACCAGGGAAAGGCTAGGCCCATTAGGGTCCGAGAGGCAACCTGTGTGTGAAGCTGCAGGATATTGGAAGGGTGTTAAATTAATACTTCTCTGCAGTCTTCACTCTGGGAAAGGAGAATGTAAGTATGGAATTCAGGAAAAGGGGCAGTGAGGAACTTGAACATAGTTTAACATAGGAAATGGGGAGGAACTGCAGGCTATGTTAGGCTTAAAAACGGACAAATCCCCTGGTCTGGATAAATTGCATCCCTCAGGCTGCTGTGGGAGGCGGGCAGGAAATTGCGAGGGCTCTAACAGAAATTTTTAATTCTTCTCTAGCCACATGGGAAGGGCCAGAGGACTGGAGGGCAGCTAATGTGCTCCCATGTTTTAAAAAAGGGATGATAGAGATGAACCAGGAAATTACAAACTGGTGAGTCTCACATCAGTGGTCGGAAAATTATTGGATAAAATTCTGAAGGAGCAAATTAATACCCACTTGAAAAGACATTGGTTAATTAGGGATTGTCAGCAAGGCTTTGTCAGAGGGAGGTCATGCCGAACAAATTTGTTACAATTTTTTGAAAATGTGATCATGTGTGTGAACGAGGGAAATCAGTTGATGTGGCAGGTGTGGGAATTAACAAAGCTTTTGACAAGATCCCACAAGGCAGACTGATTGAGAAGGTTAAAGCACATAGAATTGAGGGAAACGTGGTGAGATGAATCCGAAACATCCTGGTGAACCTCCTCTGTACCCCCTCTAGTACTGTCACATCCTTCCTTCCTGTAGTGAGGTGACCAGAACTGCACACAGTACTCCAGTAGTGGTAGAAGGCTATTTGTATGACTGGAGACCAGTGTCCAGCAGTGTACCACAAGGATCAATAAATGATATAGATGAAAATGTTGGGGAATGTAAAGCAAATTTGCACACAGCACCAAGATTGGTAGAGTGATTAAAAGTAAAGATGATGGTTGTAGGTTACAGGAAGATATAGATGGGTTGGTCAGATGGGCAGACCAATGAGAGATAGCATTTAACCCAATAAGTGTGAGGTGATGCACTTTGGAAGAAGAAACAAGATGAGGGAGTAATTAACAAATGGCAGGACACTGGATTAGCTTATAGTAACAGAGGGATCTTGGGGCAATTATTCACAGATTCCTTAAGTCAGCAGAGCACGCGAATAGGATAGTTAGAGCAGCATATGGGACACTTGCTTTCATCAGTCATGGCATAGAGTATAAGGGCAAGGAGGTAAAGTTGGAGTTGTAGAGAGCATTGGTTAGGCCACAACTGGAGTACTGTGTGCAGTTCTGGTCACCTCACTACAGGAAGGAAGGATGTGACAGTACTAGAGGGGGTACAGAGGAGGTTCACCAGGATGTTTCTTGGGATGGAGAAATTGAGCCAAAGGGAGACAAAGGATAGGCTTGGATTGTTTTCTTTAAAGCAGAGAAGACTGAACAGGGATGTGATTGAGGTGCATAAGATTATGAGGGGTATGGACAGGGTGAATACAGAGCAGCCGTTCTCTTTGGTTGAGGGATCAATCATGACAGGGTATAGTTTTAACTTAAAGGTCAGGTGATTCAGAGGAGATTTGAGGAAAAAACTTCTTCCACTCAGTGGGTGATGAGAATCTAGAATGCGCTGCCCGGGAAGATAGTGAAGGCTGGAAACCTTACGACCTATAAAAAAAATTGGATAAGTACTTCAAATATCATAACATTCAAGGATATTGGACAAGTGCAGGAAATTGAGATTAGCGCAATTTTAGTGGCAGGTATGTCAGTGCAGACTCAAATGTGCCAAAGGGCCTTTTCTGCACTGTATGAATCTACAAATTTCCACACATCTTTTCTGCACTCTGTCCATTGCGTTTACATTCTTCCAATAGTGTGGTGCCTAGAAATGTACACAATACAGTGCACATTCTTCCTACCAAAATAGATTAGCTCACTTCTTTGCTCTGAATTCACCTGCCACCCATTGCCCAGTCCACTAACTTGCTCATGTCCTTTTGCAGTTTTATACAGTCCTCCGCAGGTTACAGTGCTTCAAATTCTCATCATCCACAATCTTGGAAATTGTCCCCAGCAAACCAAGGTTTGGATCATTAATATACATCAGGAAAAGCAAGGGTCTGAATAATGACCGCTGGGGAACTCCACAGCAAATCTTCCTCAAGATTGAAGAATATACATTGATCATTACATTGTTTCCTATTACTGAGCATATTTTGTATTCACATTGTTACTGTTCCTTTTAATCATGAGTTTTAACTTGTATGCTACTATATAAAATGCCACAAAGTACTGAGAATGGACTGCAAACGGATTATGAACTGCAGTGGTACCTATTTAAACCTTGCAATTTTATCCTGATCAATAGACCTGGTAAGATCGAATTCATTTTATTCGATGCTGTTCTTTTGTTACTTAGCAAAAAGTCAGCTTTCAGCAGAGGGTGAAATTCAGCTTCCATTGGTCTTCCATTGAATTAATTCCCTATCATACCCATCCTGAATTTGCTTTCTACTGATGCAGTCTCACTTTCAATTTAAAACACAGTTTGAATATTTACAACAATAAATGCAGATTTTTCGGTCAGCAACTTAGGAGTAGTGCAGGTCACTGACTATGACTTAAACTACCCCACGCCTCTTTAATGCTGCAGCCTTTGCACTTTCCAGTCCTGGGTCAGGTTTCAATCTAGCAGTGAGCAGACTCGGCGGGCCTAGTTATCAAAATGAGCAGACTCGGCGGGCCTAGTTATCAAAAGTCCTAGTATCAAAGCATAGTTACAGTGACGCCATGTAACCTTATTTGCTATGAAGTTAGGACAAACCTTGAGGCGTGTCTTCAAATTGCTGACTTTAGTTTCTTAGTGACCCATCACCTCCAACACTGCTCAGCCTCCCTGTCAACAATGTTCACTCACACCCTGCAATCCCACACAACTCACCTTTACATCTTGAAACCGCCCTGTCGGGTGGTGGTGTGGTGAAAGGTGAGCCTCGTCGGGGTGCAAGAGAGAGGATGCTCTGTCAGGGAGGGGATGAGTACCAACATGGGTGCAGGGGAGAAATAAAGATGCTGGTGGGATACAGAAAGGAAATGAGCAATGCGAGGGCATAGTCAAATGACAAGGGTATGGAGAGGGATCAGCATTTTCTAAACACTTAAATACATTGTAAAGTAGTTATCAATTCTAAGTACTGAAAACCACAGGAATTGGGGCAAGATACTAAACGAGTATTTTGCATCAGTGTTTATTGTTGAGAAGGATATGGAATCGAAAGAACTTGGGGAAATAAATAGTGACATCTTGAAAAATGTTCATAATACAGAGGTGGTGATGCTGGACATCTCAAAACATATTTTGAAGAAGAAACAAAGAGGACTGATGAAGGCACAGCAGTGGACATGATCTATATTGACTTCAGTAAGGCATTTGACGAGGTTCCCCATAGTAGACTAGTTAGCAAGGTTAGATCACATAGAATGCAGGGAGAGCTAGCCATTTGAATAAGAATGGCTCGAAGGTAGGAGACAGGAGGTGGTGGTGGAGGGTTGCTTTTCAGATTGGAGGCCTATGACCAGTGGTGTGCCACAAGGATCGGTGCTGCGTCCACTGCTTTTTGTCATTTATATAAATGATATGGATGTGAACACAGGAGGTATGGTTAGTAGGTTTGCAAATAACACCAAAATTGGTGGTGCAGTGGACAGCACAAGTTATCTCAGAGCACAATTGGACCTTGATTAGATGGGCTGATGAGTGGCAGATGGCGTTTAATTTAGATAAATGTGACGTGCTCCATTCTGGAAAGGCAATTCAGGGCAGGACTTGTACACTTAACGGTAAGGTCCTGGGGAGTGTTGCTGAACAAGGAAACCTTGAAGTGCAGGTTCATAGTTCCTTAAAAGTGGAGTCGCAGGTAGACAGGATAGTGAAGGTGACATTTGGTACACTTGTCTTTATTGGTCAGTGCACTGAGTATAGGAGTTGGGAGGTCATCTTGCAGCTGTACAGTACAATAGTTAGGCCACTTTTGGAATACCGTGTGCAATTCTGGTCTCCCTGCTATAGGAAAGTTGTGGAACTTGAAAAGGGTTCAGAAAAGATTTACAAGGATATTGTCAGGGCTTGAGGGTTTGAGCTGTAGGGAGAGGCTGGACAGACTTCAGCTATTTTCCCTGGAACATCAGAGACTGAAGGGTGATCTTATAGAGGTTTATAAAATCATGAGGGGCATGGATAGGATGAATGGCCAAGGTCTTTTTCCTGGGTTAGGGGAGTCCAAAACTAGAGGGCATAGGTTTAAGGTGAGAGTGGAAAGATCTAAAAAGGGACCTAAGGGACAACTTTTTCACGCAGAGGGGATGCATATATGGAATGAGCTATCGGAGGAAGTGGTGGAAGCTGGTACAATTACAACATTTAAAAGGCATCTGGATAGGTATATGAATAGGAAGGGTCTAGAGGGTTATGGACCAAATGCTGACAAATGGGACTAGATGAATTTAGGATATCTGGTTGGCATGGACGAGTTGGACCGAAAGGTGTGTTTCCAAGCTGTACAGCTCTGAGTTCAAGTTCAATGTTTACAGTGCTTTCTAAAACAGATGCTGCCAGACCTGCGAAGTTTCTCCAGCAATTTCTGTATTTGTTTCAGATCTCTACGATCTGCAGTTTTGTTTTTTTTTAATCAATTCTAAGTAATATACTTCAATAAACATTTCTATACTGTCTGAGTTCTAGCAGTGCAGAAAAATTATCATAGACTAGTTTAGTGAAAATTCTTGCAAAAACTTACCGATGTATTTGCAAAGGCCAAGGAGTCTGTGAAGGAGTTGGTAATGCAGTCGAAGGACTCATTAACATAGCACTGTATATGTTCGAGGCAACTACAAGTATGCATAATAGGATGGGTCCAATTATCGCACCTTCTAGTCCAAGGTAGTAAGCTCCTCCAGCCACTGCTAAGCCAGTGAGATATGGGTGACCACCCCTGTGAAAAGAAATAATTGCCTTAGGATATTTAAATTGTACCTTAAAAAAATGCTAATTACAGCATTAGTGTTGCTGAAAATTTGGGGCAGTGCTTTTATAATGTCATGGACTTCTTTTTGAAAAGGCAAACAGCATCCATTCAAAACAACGTACTTGCATTACATTGACTTCACTAAAGTCTGCAGCACAGAAGTGAGCCATGCTGTCCAACTAGCTATGTTGGCATTTATTCTCCAGACAAACCTTAAGGTTTTCTTTAAACTCTTCCTCCTCAGTCCACATCTCATCCATCCAATTTTTCTTCTTCCTCCAGTTTCTAAGCTTGATTTCTCCTTCATTATTGCTAAGAGACAATCAGCTGGGTCTTCATTTCTACTGTCTGTATTTGGCTATCTTTCGCTCTCTAACTGTATATTTTCTGGTGTAGGAGGGAGGGCTTCCATTTTGTGGATAATTGGAGCACATTCTGGGGAAGGTGGGACCTGTAAAGTAAGGACAGGTTGCACCTGAAGCAGAAGGGCACAAATATCCTGGGAGGGAGGTTTGCTAGAGCTGTACGGGATGGTTTAAACTAGTTTGGCAGGGGGTGGGGAACCGGATTTACAATTCAGAGGATGAGGTATTTGGCCTTCCAACAGACACAACAGGGAGTGAGGTGGTTTATAAAAGAAATGCGGGCGATGGAGCATAATTGCAGACACCGAGATGGTTTGAGGTGTGTATACTTCAATGCTAGAAGTATCCGAAATAAAGCAGATGAACTTAGAGCATGGGTCGGTACTTGGAACTACGATATTGTGGCCATTACAGAAACTTGGGTAACTCAGGGATAGGAATGGTTGTTGGAAGTTCTGGGATTTAGATGCTTTAAAAGAAATAGGGAGGGTGGAAAAAGAGGTGGGGGAGTGGCATTGCTAGTCAGGGCGAGTATAGCAATTACTGAAAGGCAGTTCGAGAATGATATATCTACAGAGTCAGTTTGGGTTGAGGTCAGGAACAAGAAAGGAGCAGTCACTTTGTTGGGGGTTTTTTACAGACCCCCTAATAGTTACAGAGAAGTAGAGGAGCGGATTGGGAGGCAGATACTGGAAAGGTGCAGAAGTCACAGGGTTGTAGTCATGGGTGACTTCAACTTTCCAAATATTGATTGGAAACATTTTAGTTGTAATAGTTTAGATGGAGCAGATTTTGTCCAGTGCATTCAGGAAGGATTCCTGACACAGTATGTAGATAGACCAACACGAGGAGAGGCCACTTTGGATTTGGTGCTTGGCAACAAACCGGGCCAAGTGTTAGACCTGTTGGTAGGAGAGCAGTTTGGCGGTAGCGATCATAACTCTGTTTCTTTCGCGATAGTCATGGATAAGGATAGGTACATGCGGCAGGGTAAAGTTTACAATTGGGGGAAGGGTAATTACAATTCAGTTAGGCAAGAACTGGGTAACATAAATTGGGAACAGATGCTGTCAGGGAAGAGCACCACAGATGTGGAGATTGTTTAAGGAATGCATACTGCATGTGCTCGATATGTTTGTCCCTAGCAGGCAGAGAAGATGCGGTCGAGTGAGGGAGCCATGGTTCTCGAGAGAGATTGAACGACTGGTTAAGAGGAAGAAGGAGGCGTATGTAAGGTTTAGGAAAAGAGGAATGGAAAAGGCTCTAGAGGGATACAAGTTAGCCAGGAGGAAGCTGAAGAAAGGGCTTAGGAGAGCTATAAGGGGGCATGAGAAAACCTTGGCGGATAGGATCAAGGAAAACTCCAAGGCTTTTTACACGTATGTGCAGAACAAGAGAATGACCAGAGAAAGGGTAGGGCCGATCAAGGATTGTAAAGGGAATTTGTGCACAGAGCCTAAAGAGATAGGAGAGGTCCTTAATGAATACTTTTCTTCAGTATTCACAACTGAGAGGGACCTAGTTGTAGAGGAGGGTGTTGTGAAACAGGCAGGTAGGCTAGAGGAGGTTGATGTTAGTAAAGAAGATGTGCTAGGAATTCTGAGAAAGTTGAAGATAGATAAGTCCCCCGGGCCTGATGGGATTTATCCAAGGATTCTACGGGAAGTGAGGGACGAGATTGCAGGGCCTTTGGCGATGATCTTTTTGTCCTCACTGTCCACGGGTATAGTGCTGGAATATTGGAAAGAGGCAAACGTCATTCCCTTGTTCAAAAAAGGGAACAGGGATAACCCTGGAAATTACAGGCCAGTTAGTCTTACGTCAGTGGTGGGCAAATTATTGGAAAGGGCTCTGAGAGACAGGATTTATGATCACTTGGAAAGGCACAGTTTGATTTGTGATAGTCAGCATGGATTTGTGAGGGGTAGATCATGCCTCACAAACCTTATTGAATTCTTTGAAGAGGTGACCAAACACGTGGATGAAGGTGGAGCAGTGGATGTGGTATACATAGATTTAAGTAAGGCATTTGATAAGGTTCCCCATGGTAGGCTCATGCAGAAGGTAAGGAGGCATGGGATAGGGGGAAATGTGGCAGATTGGATTCAGAATTGGCTGACCCTTAGAAGACAAAGGGTGGTAGTGGACGGAAAATATTCAACATGGTGCTCAGTTATGAGTGGTGTACCACAAGGATCTGTTCTGGGTCCTCTTCTATTTGTGATTTTTGTAAATGATGTGGATGAAGGAGTGGAAGGGTGGATTAGCAAGTTTGCGGATAATACGAAGGTGGGTCAGGTTGTGGACAGAGTGAAGGGCTGTTCTAGGATACAAAGGGACATTGATAGAATGCAGAGCTGGGCTGAGAAGTGGCAGATGGCGTTTAACCCTGAAAGGTGTGAGGTGATTCATTTTGGAAGGACAAACTTGAAAGCAGAATACAGAGTTAACGGAAAGATTCTTGGCAGTGTGGAGGAGCAGAGGGATCTTGGGGTTCATGTTCACAGTTCCCTGAGAGCTGCCACCCAAGTGGATAGAGTTGTTAAGAAGGCATATGGTGTGTTAGCTTTCATTAATAGAGGGATTGAGTTCAAGAGCTGTGAAGTTATGCTCCAGCTATTCAAAAGCCTGGTTCGGCCACATCTGGAGTAATGTGTCCAGTTCTGGTCACCTCATTACAGGAAAGATGTGGAAGCGTTAGAAAAGGTGCAGAGGAGATTTACCAGGATGTTGCCTGGAATGGAGGGAAGGTCTTACGAGGAAAGGTTGAGAGTATTACGGCTTTTCTATTTAGAACGACAAAGGATGAAGGGTGACTTGATAGAGGTGTACAAAATGATCAGAGGTATAGATAGAGTAGACAGCCAGAGACTTTTTCCTAGGGTGGAGGTAGCTTTTACGAGGGGACATAGTTTTAAAGTGAAAGGAGGTAGATATCGGGGAGACGTCAGAGGTAGTTTCTTTACTCAGAGAGTGGTAGGGGTGTGGAATGCATTGCTGGAGAGGGTAGTGGAGTCGGCATCATTAGAGGCATTTAAGCGGCTATTAGATAGGCATATGGATGATAGTATAAGGTAGCGATGGAGGTTAGATAGACCTTAGGTTTAGCGTAAAAGTTCAGCACAACATTGTGGGCCGAAAGGCCTGTACTGTGCTGTACTGTTCTATGTTCTATTTTCAGATCCAGTGAACTAGCAGAGTGAGGTTTCCATGCCTGGAGATGTACTGTGGATGTGAACTTCTCTATAACACCAGCTACAAAACAGGGTTTTGTACTTGGATGCTTACAGCATCTCTGTCTTGCCTTTTAATGTATTGCTGCTTCATTCAAAACTTAGAGGCTAACAACAGTTCTTCCTTGCCTTGCATTTTAGTGCAGACAGAAAGTTAGGCTGCTTGTTGTGTTTGCCAGCAATAAACAGTCAAGGAGATGGAGTTGGTGGTGTACGACGCTGTGTTAAATCAATGTCACACCTGCAGCATGTCCAGCAGCTTACACAGCAAACAAACCACATGTGCCTCATGCAAATAGCCATGTTTCAAAGCCTAAGGGGAGTAAGACCTTAGACGAGTGAAGGGGCGGAATGATGATCAGTCAGGAGGCTCCATCACAGTCAGTCAATCCCTGTACTGATTGGAACTAGGTGGATCTTGTTGACTATGAGATACTTGATTGGGGTTGTTAATCTGAGCCAATTAGAAAAGCCCTGGCTGACCAATATAACCAGGAGATTTACAATCTCCTCAGTTCAGGGGACTGACTCTGAGCTGGTTGGGTTATAGCCAGTGTGCTGTGCACAAGCAAATAAAGGTTGACTTGGTGATGGGATAGTGGCCTCTGTGCAGTTATTTCAGTGGTGAGTGGGATAGTATGTGGCTGAAGAACATTTGCTTGCAACAGTCATCTTGGAGTTGGAGTAAATATTTCTGGCATCATATCTTTATTTGGGAAGCTTGACTTGTTTGATCCTGCTGTCGAAGATTGGACCCAGTATGTGGAAAGAATGTGATTTTTTTTTTTTTTTTTCTTCCCCACTCCCCCAGGCAAATGACATTTCCAAGAGTTGATGGGGTTAGTTAAGGAACATTATGACCTCCAAACTTCCTCTAATTCTGAGACCCTCTTATTGGGCTGTTAGAACCAGGATGTGGAGATGCTGGGGTGGACAGAATTGGAAGTTATAGGGTTATAGTCCAACAGGTTTAGTTGAAATCACAAGCTCTGCTCCTTTGTCAGGTGAAGGACAGTGCTCAAAGCTTGATTTCAAATAAACTTGTTGGACTATAACACAGTGTCGTGTGAATTCTGACCTAGAGAACTGGGGGAAATCTGTATTGGGATTTTGGATGTGGGTGAGATGACTGGCAGAGGAATGTGATTTTGGGTCAACCCTGAAAGAGATGCTGAGACTACTTGCTACGTGGGTTTAATGATGTAACCATGCAGAAGTGCCCAACTGGACTTCAAACAGGCACTACTAGTTTGGTGATTAGAAAATGCAGCAAGCAGAGCATGGGAGCTACAGGGCATTCCAATGTAAGTGGGCTCCCTCACCTGTCCAACTGAGCTTGGGGAACACCATTAAAGTATAGGCAATTGCA